GCAAATTCCAGTCTGCTCTCCTTTTAAATTCTAGCTTTATGTCATACCCTTGCTGCCATAGCTCAGCATAGGGTATTACAAGTAGCCATATAGTTTCCTGGATGTTTTGCTGCTTAGAAATTTCTTCCGCCAAATACTCTGGTTCACAACTCTTAAGTTCCAACTTCCACAAAGTCCTAGGGCATGGACACAATGCAGCCAAGTTCCTTGCCAGTTCATAACAAGGATGATCTTTGCCCCAGTTTCCAAAATCTCCTTCTTATTTATTTTTATCTAAGACCTCAGTATGGCCTTTACTGTCCATATTTCTGTCAACATTCTGCTCACCATCATTTAACCAGTCTTTAAGAAGTTCCAGACTTTCTGGTTTTTGGCTTTACTATACTCTCACCAGCAGCTAGGCTTTTTCCAGCCTCCTTCTTCAAATTCTTGCAGCCTTTGCCCATTACCCAGTTCCAAAGCCACTTCCACATTTTCACGTATCTGTTATAAGAAACTTGACTTATACACCACTTCTCTGGTGCCAGTTTTCTGTATTTGTCCGTTTCTGTTGCTTATAACAAAATACCTGGAACTGGGTAATTTATAAGGAAACAAAATGTATTGCTTTACAGTTTTGGAGGCTGGGAAGTCTAAAGTCCAGGGAACACATTTGGTGAGGATCTTGGTGGTGGCGACAGTGACCCAGGGGTCTCACATGGCAGAAATGGTGGAGCAGAAAGATAGCTCCCCATGCACCCTCCTTTTAAAGCCCTCAGAACCATGCTTCTGACTGCCATTATGAATCCATTCACTACGGCATGGTCCCATAATCTAATCACCTCTTCAAGGCCCCACCTTTCAATTACTGTGATAGGATTTCCCATCCTCAACAGTTGCAGTGGGGATTTAAGCTTCAATGAGGTTGGAATGATGTTGTGGGGGGCATCCAGTCTACAGAATGTGGTAAGAAGCTGATTTGACCATTGAATTGGAAACACAAAAAAGTGAAATGTTTGTTTTACTGAAATTTTCATTTTTAGTTGCTATAAGCAAAAGTTGTAATTTCTTCTTTATGACCTCAGAAGTAGTAGCATGAGGTTGTCACTTAATCAGAGGAATATTCAAGGGGATACTGCCACTAATGAGGCTTGGGAACCTCACTGGTGGCTGTAGGATCCCCTAGTAAGGTAATAGGTGTTGGGGCCAGGTGTTATGTTCCTTTTCAGCTACATGCACTGAATTTTATCACATGATTTATAGACCTCTGCACCAATATGTTTTTCTATATGTCCTCCAACATCAGTCAGACTCTTGATCAGAGGACTTTACACTAAGACCTCACATTTTTCTGTGGAATCTATATCTCTTCTCCCAAAACAACTTTATAGTGATAAGTTCATCCTTATAAAACATTTATCAGGCTTGTAGGATGGTGGTGTGTGTGTGTGAAGAATGAAAGTAAACGAGCCTCATAGCAAGCCCCATTAGTTGATGGAGTTGAGAGTGAAACCAGGGTTTGGTAGGAAAATTTCTTATAAAGGTCTGTTTTTCAGAACTCCGAGATGGGAGTTTATTCTAGCTTTTACTATGAAGACTATTTACAAATGTACCACTTGCACTGCCTTTTTCATTTTTAACATTTTTTGAGTTGTGTTATCACCTTGAGTCTATTCGTTCTTTGAGGTAGGCTCTGTTCCATATAACAGAAGCATTAAAATAAATGACCATAATATAACTGAACAGTATTGCACTGTTGGAAGCATTTATGGGGGAGGTGAGGGCATGAAATAGAGCAGGCACACTTCTCTGGGAATGCTAGTGAGGTTTTCATGAATAGTTTGGGATATATTGCTTTTATTTCCTTAGTATCTGAAATAGGGGGTCTTCTAAAAATCCAGTTTGCAGCGTGTATAGTATGCGGATTGTCTCACATAAGAAAGGAAGATAATATAGCATGGAAACACTGGCATGAGTACCCTCTCCTTACTCAAACTTAAAGGAGTGAAGGGGATCATTCTAAGGAGCAAAGATTCTGAAAGGGGAATTAAGAACTATATACAGGATGATATTACACAAATATAAGGCTGAATGTAATTAGTACTGGTCGAAAGAAGGAGGAAGTTACTACAGAGTGTGAGAAAAGCCCAGAAATGGCTTTGGAGATGAGCCTTGAGAGAGGGATTGGGCTTTAAACAGGAGAAGATAGGAAGAAAGGGTAAGAGAAAGGGATTTTGAGGGAGGTCCAGTGTGAGGAATGACGGGGGCACAGGGCAATTACACTTCAAGGGGAGGGTCAGAGCATGTTCACTTGGTCCATTTTGGTTGAAGCAGAGAAAGGAACAATGGGTGTGATGCCTAGCTTGAAACCATTCAGGGCAGTGCTTTAATACCTTGCTGAGGAGTTTGTAGAATCAAAAGTGGTCGAGTGATTAGACAAATGATTATGGCTGCACTGTCTTGGCTGGATTGGAGAACCTGGAGGCCCAGAAGTCAGTTCTTTCTGTGGTGCAATAAGAAGGTAATGAGCACTGAAGTAAGTTGGTGGCTGTGGAAGTGAAAGGCAATGGTAAAGAACAATGCCAAATTGCAGTCTCACTAGTTCTACCAGGATGTCGTGACTAATGACAACCATGAAAACTTGTCCAGCCTCTTAACCTGCCCTCACTGCAAATCTGCAAATGTAAATATTGAGATAATGTAACAACTGCACTCTTCAGTTCCCTTAATATAAATTTCTGTCCTAGCTGAGTGAGTGAATTGTTTGCAGCCCTGAATTGATGACTGTGTTCTGAGGCCTATTCAAAAGGTAATGAGATTTCAAAACTTAAAAGCACACAAACTTGGATTGTGGAATTTGACTGTCTTATCTGAATTTTGGAGCTGCTAGAACTTCCTCTTGCATTGATGATTTTAAAAAAACCAAACAGCCCTAGCCTTTGTGCAAAATACTTGGATATGATATGTTTATATAGCTTGAGGGAGAGTTTTCTTTATTCTAAATGAAATGAGCAATGAACACCATTAGAAGTTTGAGTTAAACAGACTTTAGTCCTGAAGGATGTTTTGTAGAAAGCGAAAGCCTGTTAAGCTGACTAACCCCTTTGAGCCAGAATTGTATTGCATCTATAGGTAGTTGCATCTGATGGTGCTGAGGAAGCGATTGCTGATGCAGCTAGATTCCCATGTTGCCTTTTATCACTGCAGTCCAAGACGTGTATTGTTGAACAAATGAAAAAGTTGTATGGTTTAGGTCATGTTAGAACTAGCAGAAATCTCTGAAATGTGCTCCCCTAGCACTGCTGTTATCCGTAATCACTGTCTTACTGAGTTCCACACCAGACTTGATACCATCACAACTACATTTTAGATTACTTGAATTGTCTTTGTTTCAGCTAATAGTCTTATATGTTCCCTGGGAGATGATGATCAAACAAAACAGGTGGCTGGGGATAATTAGAATTTGAATTTAATTCTCACTTTCTGAACAGGAAAGACGTGATTAATCACTGGGAATAACTTCACATCAGCTGACTAACTGTAAGGTGTTGCCCTTAGAACACTTGCTCTAGTAGGCTGTTTTTTTGAGTGCGTGTGCGTGTGTGTGTGCGTGTTCGTGTGTGTGTCTGTGTTTCCGGGTTCCAGCTCCTGCACGGTGTCTCCTGGCTGGCTGGCCCTTTTTACTGCCTTGCTCACAGCTGCACCTGTAACCCATCTCTGGGTATCTTGCGGAGACTGTGTTTCACTGTTTCCATCTTCTGCTCTGTCCCTTCCTGGCTGGGGAGAGCATGCTCTTCTCCCTGCCTCAGTCTCAGTCTGTTTTATAGGCTGTTTTTGAATATGTTGCCAGCAGTTATTTAGGGAGCAGTCTCAAGTTTGGGTGAGAGTGTCTCAGCCTGAATTATTTGCCTTATCTTTTGGATTGGTTTTATTTCTTCAATTAATGGTTTGAGTTGTTAAATAAATTGGAGAGTGAAGCAACAGCCTGTTATCTTCTTGTCATCTTTGTCTTATCCCAGTACAGTGCTGTCTACAGGCATATAGACCAGTAAGCTTATGCATGTTTTTAAATGGCCCTGTGGAGTGGAAAGCAACTTCTTGGCATGGAGATGAGACTGAATTACGTATTCTTGACACCCTTGCAAAGATCTTGTCTTTGGAATCTCTTAGCTTGAGAATTGCCTAGAGTGTGGTCTGCCCCACACTCAAAGCAGAACTTCCTTATGTCTGCAGCATTAATATCCTTGTTATGTGCCAGACCATTCCAGACTTAGTAGTGTTGCTACAGTACAAGGTTTTATTAGTTTTCTGGTCATATTCTACTAGTAGCTAGATGTTATAGGGATTATGTTTTTCCTTTACTTAATTTATCCAGATTTGATTATCCATATTTTACAGGGATTTTAATTTTGAAAAATAATTAGTGGGGAGCTACTTAAGTAGAGATATACATGTCTGGGTGTTGTATTTAAATACATGAGCAGCAGATATGGCATATCCAGAATTGCTGGGTATTTAGATTGGGAAAAAGAGTTATTACTCTCCTCTGCACCTTCTTTGGCATTTTTAGAAGTTCCCGTCTTACAGAGTGTCATGAAACTTATATTGGGGGGAGATGAGAACTGGAAAGTTAGCAAATGCTGGTGGTTTTGGATATTAAAAAGTCCTTTATAGATTTTGAAAGGTAAAAATGAAAGTTAAGGAATTATACATATCTTAATATCTTGCTTTCGTTGTGTTTTTTTTTCTTGTTTTGGCTACTACGTGTGTGTAGCCAGCCAAATGGCTCCTAGATGGCTCTGCTTTCCAATTAAAACAGGAATATTTTCTTTAAAATTTTCAGTGTACCTTGCTCTTATTAGGTCTTTCCCCAGACTAGTTAATTTTAAATTATCTAGTCTTCTCAGCTTAAGATTAGTTAGGCTAAAAGGGTAAGTAGTGGCTTGCAAAAAATTCAGGGGTGGAAGGACAACATTTCTGATTGAATTTTCTGATTGAGTTTTGCTTTATATTCGGGCTTGCAGGAATTGTGGGAGGCGCTTCAGTGAAGAAATGGACCAGTGTTTATAATCATGGGATCTCCTTGCTAACCTTCGCCACCTGCTCTTCCTGATAAGTGAGCGAGAGAGTGGGTCAGGGAGAAGGAAAAGAGATCAACATGAAGCTAAAGCAGCGAGTTGTGCTGTTAGCAATTCTCCTCGTCATCTTTATCTTCACCAAAGTTTTCCTGATTGACAACTTAGATACATCAGCTGCCAACCGGGAGGACCAGAGGGCTTTTCACCGAATGATGACTGGCTTGCGGGTAGAGCTGGCACCTAAGCTGGACCACACCTTGCAGTCTCCCTGGGAGATTGCAGCCCAGTGGGTGGTTCCCCGGGAAGTGTACCCTGAAGAGACACCAGAGCTGGGGGCAATCATGCATGCCATGGCCACCAAGAAAATCATTAAAGCTGACGTGGGTTACAAAGGGACACAGCTAAAAGCCTTATTGATACTTGAAGGAGGACAGAAAGTTGTCTTCAAACCTAAGCGGTAAGTCTTCATCTTGGAAGCTATACATGGGTACTTCAAAAAGTTCATGTAAAAATAGAATTAAAAGATAATACAAATCTTTCCATGAACTTTTTGAAGTACCCTCCTATGTGTTAGTTGGTTGATTTGTTTAATTTGGGATTTATATAAGAGCATTCATTTCCTTCTCTCGATATTGTCTTCAATAAAATGAGGTAGGTAGACTGCAAGATCTCTGAAGTCTTTTCTAGCTCTTAAAGTTCTGGACTCTTTGAGTAGGGGAAACTTACAGGAACATGTTTTGGTTCCATATAAGACTGAAGTTTTTGACAATTAAAGCTACCCTTGATTTTTATCTACCATGTGCCAGGTGTTAAAATGAATTGGTTAGGAAATAAGCAACTTGTCACCAAAAATGTGCAATTAAAGACTGTATAACCACAGGGCAGGGATGCTGTAGAATTGGAGTTATGCAGAGTTGGAGTGGGTTTTGGATGTGTGACTAATGTCCCTTTCAGTGCTGAATCTTTGATTCTTTCACCTGGGTTTCATTTTTGTTTGTTTGGTTTTTATTAATATACTTTTTTGTGTGCAAGCATTTTAAAGTTTACAAAAAAACTAAGGGGAAAATACAGCAAATTTATATTTCCCTATTGTTAACGTCTTCCATTATTGTAGTATATTTGTTACAGTTGATGAATTGATGGGCCTATATTAATTATTAAAGTCCACAGTTTACATTAGGGTTCTCTCTTTGTGTTGTGCATTTTATACCTTTTGACAAATGTGTAATAATATGTATCTACCATTATAGTATCATATGGAATAGTTTCCTTGCCCTAAAAAGCCTCTGTGCTCTACTGATTCATTCTTCCTTCCCTGCCGCTAAACCCATGGCAACGATTTTTTTTTTACTGTCTCCATAGTCTTGCCTTTTCCAAATGCCATATAGTTGGAATCACAGTATATAGCCTTTTCCAGATTGGTTCCTTTCACTTAGTAATATGCATTTAAGGTTTCTATATATCTTTTTGTAGCTTGATAGCTTATTTCTTTTTATCACTGAATAATACTCCATTGTCTGGATATGCCACAGTTTATGTATCTGTTCACTTACTGAAGGACATCTTGGTTGCTTCCAAGTTTTGGCAACTGTGAATAAAGCTGCTGCAACCATCCATGTGCAGTTTTTTGTGTGGACATAAGTTCTCAGTTCAATTGGGTAAATATTAAGAAGCATGATTGCTGGATCATATGTTAGGAGTATGTTTAGTTTTGTAAGAAACTACTAAACTGTCTTCCAAAGTGGCTGTACCATTTTGCATTCCCCCCAGCAGTGAATGATAGTTCCTGTTGTTCCATATCTTCATAAGAATTTGGTGTCAGTGTTTTGGATTATAGCCATTCTAAAAGGTGTGTAGTGTATCTTCTTGTTTCTTTCACCTGTTTTAAGCAAAGAACTGGGCCATTTTAGTTATCCCAGTAACCAAAAGGTATATATGTTGTTAGTGATTCCTTTGGACTTCTCTAGGGATCTACAGAGATAACTCGTGTGGCAATTCTATGGTATAGTTAACTTTTTAAAAAAGTTCCTCTTGTGTATATGAATTTGAAATAGGTTAAGTTGGTTGTGATTTGTATATTTTCTGCCAGGAGTTTGTTACCAGTGAATATTTTCAAAGTTTGTAATGTCGAAATTTTTTGTGTACCAAGCATTTTTTTCATTCCTCAGTGGAGCTTTTGAGAGAATTATAACATACCTTTGATTTTCTTGCAGGAGTGGGAGAAGAAATATGGGAAAAAATTGTACGAAATTCAACTCCCTTTATTGCCCAACTGTCAGTAGATAAAAGGCAGCCAGAGAACGAATGTATTGGGATCTCAGAAATGGAAGGTGTCTTTGTTTGCCTGGAACTTGGAATTATGATTTTTGGAAGATGTGGAAATTAGGAAAGTTAAAAAATGCAGTACATTTTTGGAGAATAGAAATCCTGGGGCCGGCCCGGTGGCGCACTGGAGAGTGTGCCGCTTGGGAGCATGGCGGTGCTCCCGCCGAGGGTTCGGATCCCATGTGGAGACCGGTTCCCGCTCACTGGCTGAGCGCGGTGCAGGCGCGACACCGAGGGTTGCGATCCCGTTGCCGGTCCCTGGTACGGGCGGGACACCGAGGGTTGCGATCCCGTTACCGGTCAGTAAAAAAGATAAAAAAGGAAAAAAAAAAAAAAAAGTCTGATTGGCTGGTAATGTGGAAAAAGTATGGTTATGTGGGCCTTGGGATCTAATTTCTGTTGCATGCACACCATCTAGCAGGCATTACACTAAACACTTTTGTATATATTAATGCTTTTAGCCTTCATGGGCAGGTTTAACCCTCATGGGCAGTTTTAGTTCTTATCTGCATGATAAGAAATGGAGGCTTATAAAGAGTAACTAGCTTCAACAGATCACCTCACAGTAATCAGTGGAGCTGGGGTTTGAACCGAGAACTGTCAGAGTTGTAAGCAGCTTGTATTCTGCTGCATATGTTAGTTTGTTTGCCATCCCCTAAGTGTGATGATGTGGAGTGTCATCATCAAAAATGCTAATTTAGTTTTGGAGTATGGTCTTTACCTCTTGATTTGTAGCCTGAGACATTAGCAGCTTAAGCAGAACGATGGAAGGAAGGTAACTAAAAACAAGAATTAAGTTTACGTAGAAAGAAATGAGTTATGAGCATTTTGTGTTTAACCAAGAGGAGATCCTTTCCCCACCCACCACTTGTACACAGGAGAATTGAGGTTGATATGGGACAGCAGGAAGTTTTAGAAGACAGATATTCCTGACAGTGTGCAGTGTTAGACCAGGTGCTTTGCAGATAGTTCTGGGGTGTTTGGACAAGATATAAGTGGAGGGAGGAGAGATCAGACTGATGAGTAGGGGAGGTGGCAACAGATAAATGCATAAAACTTAGTCACTACTTGCTTCATCTCATATCTCTTACTACCCTGCAACCTTCCCATTACCTTCCTCTTCCTGATCATCCTGAAAACCACTTCCATTCTTCCCCTAAATACCCATATTATCACTGTGGTCCCCAGCTTGAAAACATCCAGGGACTTCCCACTGCCCACCATACAAAACCCAGCCTCCACAGCCTAATGGTCAAGCCCCTCACAATCTGGTCTTCTTCTCTATACCCAGCCTTATTCTCCCTTTGCTCTTTGTTCCTGTCAAACTGGTCCCCCACTCTGCCACCATCTTCCAAACAGCCCATGTCCACTTGCAGCCCCAGGGCACTCTCCTCCCTCACCCAGCACGTTATATGGATCTCTGCAGTAGGTGTTAACTCTCTTAGTCACTGCATATACTGTCCCATGCTGCTTTATACCAGGCAGTATCATAGGTCGGGGGAGGTGGGTATAGGTTTAAGTGCTTGTAGAAATTGACTCCAGTCCCTAAGCACCTATCAAAATGCTGTTCTGACCCCAGGGCCTCAAAAGCTATTTAGTTCTGGTGTAAGTGCAAATTAATGTCCTTGGTCAGACTCTGATGTCCTTCACCAGAAGGATAGGAGTGATTTATTGGCAGGTACTGTATGAATTTTGCTGCTCTGTCAGAGACTTAAGATTGATCATTCTGCTGAGAGGAGGATCTAAGTCCTTACTGTGAAGTCAAGACATGCACCTTCCTTTAATAGCCACTTGTGGTTTCAGCATTTGTGTGGAGCCTGGTTGTCCATGTCATACTCTCGGAAATAAAAGATATGTATAGGTATATGACATATATAGGAATACAGTGACCCTTTCATTTACACATTTTGCTTTACATTATAAAAGTGATTTTTATTTCAATGTAGCTGTATCTATTGTGGAAGTAAATTGACTTAAACAGGCAAAAACTGCAGTTATGGTAGAAAAGGAACAAGAAGGCAAGGGCCTAAGAGTGGGTAGAAGTTAAGTGAGTGATTTTAGGAAGTTCTGAAAGGAACTTAGACATTGGCTAGTCCAACTATTCATTTTATAGGTGAGAAAAATGAGATCTAGAATTCTGACTTTCCATATTTAACATAGCCAAAACATGAGCTAAGGATTCAGATCTTCTGGCTTCAATACATTTCTTTCATTTTGATTCTTGTTCCTTTTCCTTTCCTCCATTCCTCTCTAGTCCACCCCCAAAGTTCCTAGATTCCTCTAGGGTTTTACATTTCACTCTGAGCAGCCTTCAGATGTATTGCGAAGTTCTCTAATGATTCATTGAAAGGAAAGTACTGCATATCACCACATATCTTCCTGTGGCTCCACTGGAGTCTTGAAAAGCAAAGTATTCAAGGACTGTCCTCCAGCTGTAGTAGAGAGAAAGTGCTTAGATAATGTCAGCTTTTGCTGCAGTGGTATTTAAAAATTGACTTTTAATTTAGAGGTAGCCAATATAAAACTAGGTAGCCTAAATAATCCTTTGCATTAGGAACAGAAAAATACATTTGGGTGTATTAACCATGCTAAGAAGCAACTGGTGCCCAACTAGATGGTGATGCATAGCTGTCTTTTAACATAAATGTTTCACCGCTTTACCTTGAAGATGTTTTGTGGACACGATTTCCCTTTATATTCTAAGGTCATTTAAGTTGAAGATCACTGAATTTTAGTACTGTTTTCCACTTCCCCATAGCTCTTTCAGCAATTGAGATCTGACTGTCCTTAGTGGAACTGCTCTTCTTTACTTCAATCTCAATTTATTTCTATTTTGCAGTTCTCCTCTAAAGCCTGCTAGATCTCTTTTTGACTCAGGAAATGCAGGTGAGAAATAGAGGTTATGGTTGAATTAAATATATTTTTCTTCCCAACTAACAGGTTTAAACTGTATCTTTTTAAATGATTAGTAGAAAGAAATATGCAAGTTTTCATCATCCTTTGTTTATATCATGCATATGATATAAAATCAGAATGCAGTTTGAAATGAAAAAGACCTTAGAAATTACCTTCTAGTCCAGCCCCTAATATTGTAGGTAAGGAATCTGAGATTCGGAGAAGAGAAAGGTTTTGTTCAAGGTTACCCAGTCAGGTTATGACAGAGGCACACCCAGCTCTCACTGCTAGTTGGGAATTCCTTCTACTACATCACCAGAAACTTGAAAAGAGAGAATAAGAGTGGTTATTCAGACAACTTTTTTCAAAGGCACCTTTGCCCTCTCATTAACAAAAACAAGTGTCAAGAAATTTGAACATTTCTTATAAGCCTTAACAAAGCCATTCTGGTAAACAAAAATTTTAAGTACAAGTTTTTCTTCATTTCTTCAGTTCAGTCTAATAACCATTTTAGTAGGCATTTATTGAGCACCAAGTATAGGCTTAATGCTGTGTTGGCAATGCAAAGGTGATCCTTGCCTTCCAGAACGTGACCTTGTAGTTGTATTTAAACTACATTGAAAGCCCTTTAGAGGGGTAAAAACAACATATTCCATGTTTTATTCATAGAATGATTGCTGAGGAAGATACAGAATTCCTACTTTCCTTCCCCACCTCATCTTCACCCCAAACACCAGCAATTCATGCTAATCCACAGCTGGTCTCAGGGTTGGCAGAGAAAATGTCTATAGAGCAGAATCAGGCTTGCTAAAGTTTGTATTCTACCTCTTGTGCTGTCACCTCTGGTATTGATGTAGTTCATGTTTCCATCTGTGCTTCTCAACCACTTTGCAGGTATGGCCGAGACTATGTGGTAGAAGGGGAACCATATGCCGGGTACGATAGACACAATGCAGAGGTAGCAGCCTTTCATTTGGACAGGTATGTGTAATCACAATAGGTTATGTTCATTTTGTTTCCTTTCTAAATGGGTGCAACACTAATAACTTTGACTTGTTACCTATTTTAGATAGCTGATTGACTAGTTCCATTAAATTTGTATGAGTCCCTCATAATCTGGGTGGCACCAGTAATACCAAAGAAAGAAGTTTAACTCCAGGCTTTTTTAGATCATTTCATTCCTGGCCTGCCCTCTGTCATTATTATGAGTGAAGATATTCTTGGTAAATAAAATAGCAGGATGAAAACCAAAGTTTGAAATCAAATCCCTGAATTGAATTGGTCATTAATAGGGCCTGGCAGACCTGTTGTTTGGTTTGATTTTTAAGTAAGTAATACTGACTTATCCCCGTATGCTGGAAACATATAGCATGAAATGTATAATGAATTTTATTGTTTTTTAGGCAAAAATGCACAGCTTCAAAAGCCAGAATAATTCCAAAAGAAAAATAGATATGAATTCTAAGTTTACAAGTTAACTAGGAATATTAATATTTTTTTTCATCAGGTTGCTAGTTAGGAACCTTGTAGATGAATTGTCTGGTATCCCAGTTTCTCTTCTAACCTGCTCTTTCATCAGCACATTGACAGACTTTAAAAGAAATTATTCACAAGGGCTGGTCCGTGGCTCACTCGGGAGAGTGTGGTGCTGAGAACACCAAGGCCCCGGGTTCGGATCCTATATAGGGATGGCCGGTTAGCTCACTGCTTGAGCGTCGTGCTGCCAACACCAAGTCAAGGGTTAAGATCCCCTTACTGGTCATCTTTAAAAAAAAAAAAAAAAGAAATTATTCACAATATTTTCTTCATCTCAATCCCCTTCCTATTTCGCATTTGTTGGACACTGGCAGCACATGAAGATCCTCATTTCCCCATTTCCATACCAATATTCTATATTATCCAACGTACTAATTTTTGTTAATCTAATATATGTAAAGTGATATCTCATTGTTATTTTATTTTCTATTTCCCCACAGTTACTGGCAGAGTTTATCTTTTCATAGCAGGACACCTATTTGTCAACTTAGAGTGAAGGATTCTTTGTACAGAAATCGTTACTCTTGATGTTAATTAAATATAATGTTTTAATTTATGGTTTGTGTTTTGGGGGTCTTGTATTTAAAAGTCCTTTCCCCGGGCCGGCCCGGTGGTGCACTGGAGAGTGTGCCGCTTGGGAGTGTGGCGGCGCTCCCGCCGAGGGTTTGGATCCCATGTGGAGACCGGTTCCCGCTCACTGGCTGAGCGTGGTGCGGGCGCAACACCGAGGGTTGCGATCCCGTTGCCGGTCCCCGGTACTGGCGGGACACCGAGGGTTGCGATCCTGTTACCGGTCAGTAAAAAAAAAAAAGACAAAAAAAAAAAAAGTCCTTTCCCCCCCAAAACAAAAAGAAAATAAATGAAATTAGGAAAAAAATCAAAGTCCTTCTCCACCTCAAAGTCTGAAAGATATTCTCTGGCCAGTCCCCTTCTCCCTTTTGTTAATGGCCACCCTGGCCAGTCTCAAGTAACACTGTGATATTATTGCCTGTCAGCACTAAAGTGACTCTGTTCTTTGGCCTGATAGTGGTTGATGGAGGGAAAAAATACTGTGCCACCTTCTTTTCCTTCCGTGGTTCGTGACACTTTTCTGATTTGGGCTGCTGTTTCTCTATTATATTCAGACTTAACTACCTTCTCTTGCCTTAGGGACTTCTCTCTATTTTTATGTTATTTTGGTGGATCTGTTTATTTCCTTGATTTTGTTTTGTGGCTTTTCTAAGATTGGGTTTAGGATAGAATCAGCAGCCCTAAACAATGGATTATTTGTTACCTAGCCATTTTTACAGTCTTTCTAATGACATGGGAAAAGGTTTATGATACGGTGATGAGTAAAAAGCAGGATATAAAACTGCATACAGGGCCGGCCCGGTGGCACACTGGAGAGTGCGCCACTTGGGAGTGCGGTGGTGCTCCCGCCGAGGGTTCGGATCCCATGTGGAGACCGGTTCCCGCTCACTGGCTGAGCGCAGTGCAGGGGCAACACCGAGGGTTGCGAGCCCGTTGCCGATCCCCGGTACGGGCGTGACACCGAGGGTTGCGATCCCGTTACCAGTCAGTAAAAAAAGACAAAAAGGAAAAAATAAAATAAAATAAAACTGCATACAGTATTATCTCATTTGTACGTGTAGAGATAAGTATGACAGTATATGCTTATATATACATGCAAAGGAAAAAATGCTTATATGCCAAAATGTCAGTAGTTATTTCTGGGTTGTGGAAATATTTATTTGTTGTTGATAATCTTTATTTTCTTCATTATAGATTTTCTGTGTGTTCCAAATTCTGCCCCCTCCAACTTTTCTTCAGTAATTATATATTTTTTACCAAGAAATTTTATTTTTTAAAAAATGATTGTTTTCACAGGCTGGCTGGTTAGCTCAGTTGGTTAGAGTACAGTGTTATAACACCAAGGTCAAGGGTTGGGATCCCCACACCAGACAGCTACCAAAAATAAGGGTTTTCAACCATAAGGTAGTACTTTCAGGCTGTTAGAGAGAAATTTCTTCAAGTGTATCTATATTTAAGTTGTCCTGTGGGTTTATTCTTTTAGATCAATCTGAATGATTTTTTGTCAATGTGCTGTTTTATCCAAAGCTTTGTTAGTTGTCTTTTTTTTTTTTTTGGTTTGTTTCTTTTTTTAATATTTTTTTATCTTTTTTTTTAAATCAAAGCTTTGAACCCATGTATGAGTTTAAGCCCAATTGATTTTAACGCTTTATTAAAACTTATTTTTAATTTTATTATGAAAATTTCTTTTTTTTTTTTTTTTTTAAAAGATGACCGGTAAGGGGATCTTAACCCTTGACGTGGTGTTGTCAGCACCACTCTCAGCCAGTGAGCGAACCGGCCGTCCCTATATGGGATCCGAACCCGGGGCCTTGGTGTTATCAGCACCGCACTCTCCCGAGTGAGCCACGGGCCGGCCCAATTATTATGAAAATTTCTAACGAACAAAAGTAGAGAAACTATTGTAATGCACCATCCCTAGATTTAGCAGTGTTCACATCTTGCCAGATTTGCCTTGTCCTTTTTTGCTAAAGTGTATATTAAAATAAATTACATACATCTTGACATGAAACTTCTAAATATACATACCTCTAAAAAGTGAGATTTATCTACCTAGCTATATATAATACCTTTACACATCTAACATGTATAACCATAATTTTTGAGGCTTTTATTTAAAATACATCCCCAAAGATTTTTCTCTTCTGTTCTTCAACCTTCCAAACCAGGATTCTTGGTTTCCGCCGAGCCCCTTTGGTGGTTGGTAGATTTGTTAATCTGCGGACAGAGATCAAGCCTGTTGCCACGGAGCAGCTGTTGAGCACCTTCCTAACTGTAGGTAAGGAGATTATAAAGGACATTTACATAGGGGACTAGTTAATATGTTAAATGGGACATCATTGAGCAAGCTGTCATGGCTTTTAGGAATTAAGAACTCGGGAATACAAAAACAAATCAGGCAACCTGTTCACAGGTTACTGGAGAAAATGGATCTGAAGGAAATTGAAAGCTGTCCCTACTGTGCATTCTCTTGTGTCTGTAAAATAGGAAGTGAGGTCATTTACTGATAGTGAATATGGGTGATAATTTTATTTCCTTCTGCTTGGTCTTATAGCTAAGTTTCAAACTCAGAATTTGGCCTAAATTATTTTATTGTCTGTATATCACTGGCTGTTTTTTTTTTTTTCATATACATGTGCTTTCTTGGGAACTGTCTCCTTAGAATTGGGGAAACCTTAAGGCAACTCTGTAAGAGTCAGAAATTCCCCTGTAGGGTTGCATTTGGGCCTGGAAGATCACCACTGCCTCCTACTACTCTGCACGGGTTAGCCTATAACTCATTGTGCATGTAACTGGCTATGGTGCCTCTGGCCTCTGTTTTCCATTATCATTCTGAGGTAAGGGATCTGAGCTAAAATTCTCATTCTCATGGGCATGATGAGAACGGGAAGAATTTAGGGTACTGTGAACTTTTGTCTCAGCCACTTCGTGATGACTCTTTTTCAGTGATATGGTGCTCTGCATTATGGTATGACTATTGAAACAGATATTGCAAGGTGAACTTCACCTTGCTTTTAGCTTGACTGGTAAGGTTTACATTTAAAATTAGGTAAAGTAGAATGTTTAAAGGACTAGTGACGGATTCATCATTCAGAATTTAAACTTATAATACTTGGGAAATCCTTTTCTTATAGATAACTGAAAGCATACACAGTGTCACTGATTTGGTTTAGATATTTTCTAGTCGACTTTGGTTGTTCAATTTATGCTCAGCAAACATGAATTCTTGGTGGGTGCTTGGATATATTTAGAGAGAGAGTAAGAAGAATAAGCCAGGGACCCTGTTCTCCAGAGACTTACAGAAGGTTAACTCTCATATGTGGTATGAAGTATGGGGAAGGGACAGGCCAGAAAAAGGTTTGTAGAGGAGGTTATTAACACTCGGACTGAGTATTGAAGAATCAGTACGAGTTACTCAGGCAGCAAAGAAGAAAGGGAATTGGGCAAAATAATGGGAAGTGATAATGGGAACAAGGTCATAAAAACCCGATGGTAATGTAGGATTGGTGCATTTGGGGAATGATGAGCTTCTGGGTACTCTCCAGCATAGGGCAGGTAGAGAGATTTGGCTGGGGGTGAGGTTTTTTATAATGGGCTGACCTTAGCCACAACCTTTTTGTTGTTGTGTTTTTAAGACTTTATTTTTTAGAGCAGTTTTAGGTTCACAACAAAACCGAGAGGAAGGAAGGTACAGAGATATCCCAAATACTCCCTGCCCCCACACATGCATAGCCTCCCTGATTATCAACATCCCACATCAGAGTGGTACAGTTGTTACAGTTGATGAACTTGTTACTGGAGGAGAGGGTCTGAGGAGGTCAGATACCTGACCTCAACCCTGTCCCCTACCAGATTCTTGACTCCCCTGCAGGAAAGAATTCAAGAGCAGAGTCGAAGTAGAAAGTGAGAGCAAGTTTAATGCGAAGAAGATTAAGGAATACACACTTCACAGGCAAAGTGCAGGCTGGCTTGAAAGTGAGGAACAGCCCTGCTTTTGTCCTGGATTCTGCCTTTTATAGCTGGCTATCTATATGTATTCATGCTCTCTATAGATATTTAACTAAAGGGGTGGTTCCCAGTTATGTAACTCAGCCTTGCACGTGCTCTGTTTGTTTCTTTTGGCACCTGTGCAGTGGTCAAATTCCAGCATATACACCAAGTACTCTTAAAATATACTTGGTGCTCTCTAGCACCTCCAGTGTAGGGTCATTCAAGGACATTTTTACTGCACATGCACAACCACTGAAATTGATAGAACTAGCCGTCTGCTGTCTCTTTCTTCCCATTTTGTTCTCGGAAATAGGTATGACATGCAACAATAACTTTCTTCTATATCAAGGCCTAGGGGAGGGACCTGAGACCTTGGGGAGTGGTTTGAGACTCAGAGAAAGGGCCTGAGACCCAGACTTCAGGGAAACTGAGCATCTCCTATCTCAAACCTTCATTGACACATCTTTATCACCCTGTTGGGCTAGCACTCACAGACCCTTCAAACCCATTGTACAGACTGGGTCACAGACTCCTCACAATGCCAGGCTGGGTCACAGACCCCTCATGTGCAGGCTGGGTCACCAGACCCCTCACATACAGGTTGCAAGCTAGGTAATTGGGAAAAGACCCTGGGAGCCATTGGCAGAGTTGACAGGTTCATTCCAACGTGAGCTCAGTTCCTCAGCAGCAGCAGCAGCAGCAGTTTATGGCAGATCCAGCAGCAGTGGTGGTGGCCTCCTGGAGCATTCTTGGGGCCCTGGCAGCAACAGCTTGCAGCAGCAGCCTCCAGCAGCAGTAGCGGCCTCCCTGTGTTCCCCCTGGGGCATCCTGGGGCAGGGGGCACTATGGATCAGAGCCACTTGTCCTTTTTACTTAAGTCCAATAACCCAGGAACAAACACCTGGGTGCCCACGTGCATCTACATCAGACAGTAACCAAGGAACACCTGGGCGCATGAGCAGTTATCATATTTATATCAAATGCTCAGCAAGATTCTAAACCCCCGAGGGAGCCTGACCATTTACTTTCACTTTCCCTACACACCCAAAGTCCATAGTTTACATTAGCGTCCACTTTTGGTGTTGTACATTCAGTGGGTTTGGACAAATAAATAATATGTATATGTCATTATAGCATCATACAGAGTATTTTCACAGCCCTGAAAATCCTTGGAGAGAGGAAAAAATTAAGAATGACTCCCAAGTTTCTGAACTGGATGACTAAGTGAATAATGAAGCTGTTGACTATCTTAGGAACTACAGAAAGGAGCACTTAGGATGGTAAAAAGGAGAAAGATAATTTAATTTCAGATATTTTGTTTTCTTGATAGGAACATCCAGGCATAAATGACTAGTCATTTAGGAGCTAAAGACTACAACTGAGGAGAAAAGTCTGTTTTGGAGGCATAGATTTTATTATCACAGCTGGTAGTTCACACAAGGACAGCATGAAGACTGAGGTGATCAGAAAACCAGTTTTAAAATTTGGCATATCCAGAAAATAGTCTCAGAGTCTCAGGCTGATGGCACTAAAATGGGGATATTGAAATCTGGAAAGGTAGATTGACCATATTACTATCAATAAATAGCTGGCATTGAAAGGTCTCTGGCAGTGTGTCAGGCACTGTGGTGAGCATTGCCATGGACTGTTTCATTTACTCTTCACAACCCAATTATGGAGGAACTATTATTGTCTTCAGTTTACAGAGGATGCTTTGAGAAATGAACTGACATGCCCAGAGTTTTGCAATCTCATGACTAATCTATATTTTAACCCCGGAAACCTGACCCCAGGCCCCAAACCAATATGTCATACTCCCTTCCAGTTATGAAGATTCTTATTTAATCAAACTCAGGAGTTTGGATTTTATCCTATAGGCAACAAGTTTCCTACACCAAGCAGTGTTTTATTTTTTGTTCTGATTTTTGTTTAATTTTCTGAATCAGTAGTGCATTCCTGTAATTCAAAAATTTTTTTCAAGTATTAAAAGGGCTACAATGAAAAGTTGTTTCTCATCCATCTAGTTCCTTTCCCTTCCTGCCATTGGCAACCTCTATTAGTAATTTCATTGTCTTTTTTATATGAAATATGAATATATATTTTTATTTAACTGTACTATTTTATACAACATATGGCACACTGTACATACTTCTGCATCTTATTCTTTTTACTTAATATATCTTAGAAATCTTTCCATATTACATATAAAGAGCTTCTTCACTCATTTGTTGTTTTACCAGCTGAAAAATATTCCATTATATGGATCTCCCATAGTTCGTTTAACCAGTCCCTTATTAGATTTATATGTTGTTCCAATATTTTGTTTTTACAACCAGTGTTGCCCAGAATTACCTTGTACATATGCTACTGCACACATAAGCAAATATTGCTAGAGTGGAAGTGCCAGATCAAAGGGCACATGCATTTTAAATTTTGGCAGGTATGGGCTTCTGGTCAAGATAGCAGAATAGATGGTCCCTAGTGTCACTCTCTCCCACAAATCAACCAATTTACAACTGTTAAAAAGCACCGACAGCCAAGCTGGGGCCGTAGAGCTCAGGGGAAGAGGAGGAAAGACCTAGAGAGTGCATGAAGGCAGGAGAAGCCACAATGAGAGGAAGAAAGGATTGTTCCTACCATTTCGAATCCCAGCCACTTCAAGGCTGGTGCTGGTGAGTGCATGGAGCAAGAGCTGGCAAAAGCTGCAGCTATGCCCTTCCTATGAAGTTGCTTGGAGATGGCAGGGGAGAAGAGGGCCTTGGTGGCCCTCTGGCCAGAAAGACCACTAACAGGGTTCCCATGAACCCACATAGAAGCAAGGAGCCACAACAACTGAAAAAAGGAGCCACTCAGAGGCTAGTGAGTCATTGCAAGGGACCAGTGCATGGCCCATCCCATGGGAAGTGTTTTGAGTTTGGGCGGTGGGGGACAGGCCACTGGGGGAACATAGGGGCACAGCATGGACAGCTGATCTGCCTTCCAATCAGTACAGGCCCTCTCAGTGGAGGCTGGTCAGGAGTATAGAACTGCGTGGGGTGCAGTTTGCTGAAAAGACTCAGGCCCAGACCAGAGTTTCCACACAATCCAGGTGCACCAGAAGTCACAAGACCCAGAAGTACCTGTATAGTCAACAGTTAAAACCTGAGCTGCACAAAAAGCCTTCCTAGGGAATCAGCAACAAAGCAGCACTCTAGTTCAGCCACAGGGCTCAAGTGCTGGGGCCCACAGGAAGTTCCCCCATTTTAGAAGTAAGCAGAGGACAACAAATTAGTTCCAGTGCAGAGTATA